CTCTCGACGCGACACCTCCGCCGATCGCTGTTTCACAAACAAACTCGACCTCTCTCCTCTTTGAATTCGAGACACCCGCCGGCGCGTACAAAGTTGGCTACCGCTGATTGTAATTACTCAGCCCTCTCGGTTAACGAGACATCGGCCTGCCGCCGCCGCCACCGCCGCCGCCGCCGCCGCCGCCGCCGCCGCCGCCACCGTCCGACGCGGTATGATGGATCGCTCGCTATGCGAACATCGGTGACGAAAATCGCCTCACCGCCGCTTCCGTGAAGTCTCTCCCTTGTTTTCGCATAAAGGCCGCGTCGAGTAAAAAAAAGGGGGGGGGAATTTAAGTCCGAATCCCGAATTTGTGTTTTATAACGTTCCGTCTACAAGAGCACTAAAATAAAATATTGTTAATTAAAGAATCGACATCGCTGAACGCGCGACGAAAGCGCGGAGACGTGTCTTGACAGCATTGCGGCATTAAAAGGGTAGATCTTTCGGTAATTGTCGGCAAATATTAATAACTGCGGGCGGGGGCGCGAGACAACTCGCGCGGATTCAAAGAGAGCGGGAGAGGAGCGAGCGGCCGAGGAGAGGAGGAGGCGCCGCCGACTGCTCCGTGAGGGTGAGCCCGTCGAACCGGTTATACTTGAGAGCAAATACATAATGCCTCGATGATTTTCCCGCCGGAGGGAAGAGCCGACCGTGATTGAAATTTGGAAACTCGCTTTGACACAATTACCCGAACCGTTCTGCTCCGAAGACGCCACTGTAGCTGCTTCGTAAGCTTTCCGAGAGAGAAATTACCTCCATCTTTCGCGAGAATAGACTTACGTAGCAAACTGCATTTATACCGTTTGCAATAGCGAGAGGACCGTTCCAAGATTAGCACGATGACAGCTGTCGAACGTCAACCTGCGATCGATATCCGCGTGCGAAAGGAAAGGGTAGATTCGGTCCTTCACGAAATTCCACGGAACTCGTTATGGAAGGAAGCCTCGTAGGTGCGTATCATAAGAAGCCCTGTTCACGATCGCCCTCGGAACTTCGCACCGGACTTATTCATCGCCGATCATCGGCGTTACGTTCGCGACACTCTCGTGCGGAATAAAGCGGATACCAGTCGTATCCGCTGTCGTCGAGTGCTTCTCGCGTATTGTATAACTGCTGGAATCGATAATCGTCTTGTGATATTTTTCCCGATGACTCACAATCAGCGAATGACAGAAAGAATGTTGAATAAAGAGATTTCGTGCAAAATATTGAAAAGAATATTAATAAAAAAATCAATAGAAAAAAGGCTGTTTACGCGCGATCACAATTATCGATTACATCTCGTCAGACTGCAGAGGATCCAAAATTCTCTGTCGATTTATAATATTTTTTGCACCTTTACATCTACGCTTAATTCTTACAACTTTTTTTTCTGCTAATTTCTTTATTATTATAAAACCAGAAATTATTTTAATATTAGTGAAGAAAGATCCCTCGTACAAAATGCTGATAAGCAGTGCAGGAAGATAAATAGCATTGTTTGCAAAGCTAAAGTCGCGCGATGCAACGAGCAAGCATGGCAATTTCGATGCCATCTCGATTTAATTTGATTATATTCCCCTCTTAATGCAACCGCAACCAGACATTGCGCACGGCGATTGTTGTTATTTGCTAATACCGGGATACTGTTACGCAGAAATATTCTAGACGCGCGTGAATCCTTATCAATCTATTTATCCGCCGATAAAATCCGTCGGTTTAGCGATCTATCCACTATGCGACGGTCCCACCCGCTCATTCGCCCATTCGTCGAGAAGATAAGGACGGCGCGACGCGATACGCATCTCCTTATACGTAAACAATGTACCCGTGGCAATATTACCCGGGTGGATCGTACCGGAGCATTCGTGGCTACGGGCACGAATGTAAAACGATTCGTCTCCTTCGATCTCCGCGCTGGCCACGCGTGTAACGCGATACCTGGTGCGCGACGACCGAGATGCCGATCATCGGGGAGGTCGCCCGTCTTCCACCTGCCATAATTTCGTAGATCCCACCGTGCTCTTCCCCCCTCCCCCCTCCCACCCCTCCCGCGTCTCTTCGCAGTGCCCTCTTGAATTTTGAAACGCGCCATCTTCGACTGGGCGTACGGAAGGAACTCGATATCGAATTCCGATCGCGTGGGATGAGGAAGGGAAGGCGAAATGATCGGCGACGAATATAGCCGGGAACGATTAAACGTCGACGAGCGTATTGCCTATTGCCGGGCGCAATCGCGAATGCTCAAACGGACAGAAGAAGGCTCCGAACGAAAGACAAATAATGGGAGACACGCGAGCGAGAATGAAAATGGAATGCAAAGCTCTCCTTTTTTTTCTCCGCGGGGAGAGTGAGAGAGAGGGAATGAATGGGAATCCTTTCAGAGTCGCGCCGGTGGTTCGCGCCGGCGTCGCGCAAGGGTTGAAATTCCCTTTGCTGGATGTTTAATGCGGCAATCTACGGGCGTGATAAAGTGCCAAACAAATGCCGAAAGGGAATCGCGAAGTGAGCGCCTACCTACGGGCACGGCACGGTCGGTATACCGCTAAACGGCAGGATACAATGCTGGCACAAGCTATTACATTGTATAAACATGCCTCTCCGCGGCTACAAACAGAAGAGCGGGCGGGCGAACCACTTCAGAAATTGAAACGCAGGAAGAGAAAGCTCCGTGGTTGCACTCGGCGATTGAAACCGCTTCCAACCCTTCCGGTGCTGCTTCCCTCCGTCCGACTCTCGCTCTCTTTCCTTTCTTCTCTTTCTCTCTCTCCCTCTTTTTTTAATTTTCTTTTTTTTTTTTTGATCGTCGAGAAAACCGCAAAGATTTCGTTCTCTTTGCGGCAGCACTTGAAAGAAATCTCTGTAATCTTTTGCTTTTCTTTTTCGTCGGCCTGTCCGCTCTCTAGCGCAATAGACAGCTCCTCGCCGCGAAAAAGTCACGCAACGAAAGCCCCTTCCCTCCTTTAACCATTTTTTCAAGAGAAACATATATTCTGTATATATTTTATTCACGATCACTCGGAATCACGAATTTCGCAGAAAATTGCCGAATTCTTGTAAAAATTCATGCAAATACGGCCTTTCGTGCCATTAAAGAAGTGATGCGAATTTCGGAACCTTTCGTCTTCCGACCGCTTTTACTCTCGGGCTCCTATTTTTCCGCTTTGAAAACGGCAGAAGAAAAGAATAACGTTCTTTGCATACTCTCGGATTAAAAGGCAAACAGTCCTCTGGTAGCGGTACGAGAATATACGTACCCGTTGAAAGGAAATTTATGGGAATTAATATTGGTTCCCCGGGGAGAGAAGGAGGAGGGGGGGGGGGGGGGTTGGGGTTAGGCGGTAGTACGATGGTTCTAGATGTCTCGGGACTCGCGGAATGCGACTTTCCGGCATATATCGGAGGGAACTTTAAGAATTTAATTCCTACGCGCGTTGTGCCTCTCCTTCTCGCTCTTTCTCGCTCTTTCTCCCTCTCTCCTTGTCTGTTCTTCGCACGAAGAAAGAGAGACAATGCGGGACTTTCAGCGTCTCGCATGCTCGCCGAAACGATACTCGAGCGAGCTCCACGGCATAATTTCATTCGCCGCGCGATCTCGACTCGTCCTTTGTTCTCTTCCTCCTTGTCTCGCGAAAGAACATACGCGTTATTTTTACTTCAACGTTGCTTCGGCAGTGAGTAGAATTTGTATTATTTTTTGGAATCGCGACAAAAGAAGTTATTTTTGTATTGAAATTTAGAAATAGCAAAAAATCTCTGTCTAATACGTTGTTTTTATTCGTCAAGTTTTTCGAAATTGAGATATTAAAGTTTTGCGCCGCGACAGAGATGGAAGGTAAAGTTCCTTTTTTTAAGGGAACTTTGCGACTGAAGATTGCTAGCTCCTCGCGACTTTAGTCACCGTGACGCGACGGAAAAAGTCTCCGCCGTATCTCTGAGAAAGACGTGTATATATCGCGCGACACCGCCCGTATTGGTATCGTCACGAAGCGAGAACGACTGCGTGGCAACAAAAAATCACCATTAAGCCGCCGTACGTCTCCCCGGGGATGGACCCTACATCATATAGGTGGTGGAGGAAGAGGTATTAAACGTACAAACGCGATAAGCTAAAACACTTCTCGTCGATGCGCTCCACGGGGTCTCGCCCCACGTCTTCCCTCGCGTACACGTCGTCCCCCACGTCGTCGTGCCTCTCTCTTTTTCTTTT